GCACTTCCGGAAATACCGGAAGTTGACAGCAACTTTCTTATTTTAAATGGGTGTCCCCATTTTTCATTACATACTTAAATTTTCTGTAAAATTTCATGAATTTTGATATTAAACACTCTACATCTAACATTAACCGTTTTTGAGAAAAAAAAATATTTAAAAATTTTGAACGAAAAAAACTGCCTGTCAAAAATATGTGTATAACCTAAATGTCAAATTTAGTGATTACCACAGCCACTGTACCATCAAGAGAAAACATGTGGCTACCTATTTCAAAAATTAAATTGTTCTAATGTCATACAATATGGCCGCTGCTGTCATAGAATTGAGCGATTAAAAAATGATCATAAATCATTTTTTTCAAATGGAAACCCATTTTTTTATTTCACTAGTGGAAAGGCTTTTCAATTCGTTACTTTTTGACTATACATATTCCTATACCTAAAATAAATCGTTTTTAAGTTATCTTTAAACGTCAAGTGATGTAAAACAATAGATCTGGCCATGTCATATTGTAACGCTTTGTTCAAAAAACAGCATCATTTCCGAACCAAGTTTGCGCTGTTTTTTTTTCGATCATACGGAATATTATTAATAATATCAACTATAAGATACCACTAAAGAGCGAAAATACGAGATATATTTTTATATATAAATACACTTTTTAAACTCTTAAGGCAGGCATTATTTATAATATAGGAAATTGAAATAATTCGTTTTCTGACAGATGGAAATAAATTGTCTGACTGTTTGACACTTAATGTCAAAGGAAGCTAGATAAAATCAAGAAAAATATACGTTTTCAAACTAAATCTTAAATAACTTAAAAACGGTTTATTTTAGGTATAGAAACATGTATACTCAAAAAGTAACGAATTGGAAAACCTTTTTGCTAGTGAAATAAAAAAGTGGGTTTTCATTTGAAAAAATTGATTTATGATAATTTTTTAATCGATCCATTCCATGACAGCTGCCGCAATTATTATATGACATTTGAACAATTTAATTTTTGAAATAGCTAGCCACATGTCTTCTCTTTATGTCACAGTGGCTTTGGTAATCACTAAATTTGACTTTTAGGCTATACCATTTTTTTTGACGGGTACTTTTTTTCGTATACGTATTTACGTATAGAGTGCTTAATATCAAAATTCATCAAATTTTACAGAGAATTTAAGTATGTAATAAAAAATTGGGGCACCCCTTTAAAATAAGAAAGTTGCTGTCAAGTTCCGGCATTTCCGGGAGTGCCGCCATATTGAAAATATTTTTAATCGATAGATCTCGTTGTAAAACAATGATGTGCAAAAAATCTCCGATGTAGATATTGTGGTTCTCTAGAAACTTCTAATGCACGATCAGAATGGGACACCCTGTATACCATGCTGGCAACTCTTAGTGTTGGGTCGATATTTACATATGTGGAAGTAAATAGTATAAGGATAAGTCGGAGTGAGAGAAATGCGAAGGGGTGCTGTTGCGGCGTTGCCACATTTCTCCGGTACGTCTTTCCCTATCAAATAAAGTCAAATCACGATCGCAAACCGCGATAACTCAAGAACCACTTTAGATATTGAAACTCTTTTTCTTATTTTGAAGTTCGGATCTTTTACAAGATGTTTAAATGAGAAAAATTCAATAGGCTTGTTTTTTTTTCGATTCAAAAATTAAAAAAAAACGTCCATTAACTTTTAGTGTATAGCAATTTTTAGTAATCGTGTAACTTTCTTATTTGTAAAGATTTTCACATACTGTCTGCGAAGAAAATATAGCAGAAATATTAAGAAAGTTTTTGAAAAATACAATCAATTATTTCTAATGGATTTCGAGATATCGATTTTTGAATTCAGAGTTCCAATAGTGCAACCACTGTCGAATACCAACTCAATTCCACTTATTTTTACCAAAAGTGCAAGTTTCTAACTTGCACTTAAAAATTTACAAGCTATAGGGAAAATGACAACGACTCGTTAATAAATAAACAAATGAAGTATCACGAGACGTAATTAAGTCGCAAAGCTGACAAATACAATAAAGATGCACTAGAAAAAACAGTCCAAACTGTCCGAGAAAAAGGAAAATCGCGTAAAACATGCAGTCAGTACAGAATTCCAAGTCAACAGTACAGGACTCTATTAAAGACAAATAAGTGAAGTTTGCAAACTAATGGAACGAGTGCTTATTTTAACCAGAGAAAATTGAAAAAAAATTTCTACCTGGATTGAAAACTTAGTTGTTTACGAATTTCAAATAAAAAAACAGGTGTTACTTAATACAGTTGAAAAAATTGTATCGAGAAAAAAAAATTGAAAACGCTGTTTACTAATATAAGCATGGAGTTATGAATCGCGTTGGTACCCTTTAAAGATGATTTTTTCATATAGATAACATACAACAAAAACAAAAAACAGTATATAATGTTCGAGATTAAATTTGCTTTAAAATTATACATACAGGGTGTCCCAGGCTGAGCGTGCATTAGAAGTTTCTAGAGAACTACAACATCTAGCTCGGAGATTTTTTGTACATCATAGTTTCACAACGAGATCTATCGATTAAAAATATTTTCAATATGGGAGGCACTTCCCGAAATCCCGGAAGTTGACAGTAACTTTCTTATTTTAAATGGGTACCCCCATTTTTTATTAAACATACTCATATTCTCTGTAAAATTCTACGAATATTGATGTTAAACACTCTATACCTAACCTTAACCGTTTTCGAGAAAAAAAATATTTAAAATTTTTGGACGAAAAAAACTACCTGTCAAAAAAATTTGTATAGCCTAAAAGTCAAATTTAGTGATTACCACAGCCACTGTGACATAAAGAGAAGACATGTGGCTATCTATTTCAAACATTAAATTGTTAAAATGACATATAATAATGGCGGTAGCTGTCATGGAATTGAGCGATTAAAAAATTATCTTATATCATTTTTTTCAAATGGAAACATACTTTTTTATTTCACTAGTGAAAAGGTTTTTCAATTCATTACTTTTTAACTATAAAAGTTCCTATACCTAAAATAAATCGTTTTTAAGTTATTTAAGATTTAATTTGAAAATGTATATTTTTCTTGATTTTATCTAGCTTCTTTTGACATTAAGTGTCAAATGATCAGACAATTTATTTCCATCTGTCAGAAAACAAATTATTTAAATTCCTTAAATTATAAATACTGCCTGTTTAAGAGTTTAAAAGGTGTATTTATAAAACTATATCTAGTATTTTCGCTCTTTAGTGATATGTAATAGTTGACATTATTAATAATATTCCGTTTGTCCAAAAAAAAAAACAGCGCAAAGTTGGCTCGGAAATGATGCTGCTTTTTGAACAAAGCATTACAATATGACATGGCCAGATCTATTGTTTCATATCACTTCACGTTTAAAGTCATAGGCTACTGGTTAAAATCAAGAAAAATATACGCTAATAAAACTAAATCTTAAATAACTTAAAAACGATTTATTTTAGGTATAGGAACCTGTATAGTCAAAAAGTAACGAATTGAAAAGCCTTTTCACTAATGAAATAAAAAAAAAGGTTTCCATTTGAAAAAAATGATTTATGATAATTTTTTAATCGCCCAATTCTATGACAGCTGCGGCCATTATTATATGACATTCAAACAGTTTAATTTTTGAAATAGATAGCCACATGTTTTCTCTTTATGGCGCAGTGGCTGTAGTAATCATTAAATTTGACGTTTAGGCTATACACATATTTTAGACAGGTAGTTTTTTTCGTTCAAAAATTTTCAATATTTTTTTTCTCAAAAACGGTGAATGTTAGATATAGAGTGTTTAATATCAAAAATCATAAAATTTTACAGAGAATTTAAGTATGTAATAAAAAATGGGGGTACCCATTTAAAATAAGAAAGTTACTGTCAACTTCCGGGATTTCCGGAAGTGCCTCCATATTGAAAATATTTTTAATCGATAGATCTCGTGAAACTATGATGTACAAAAAATATCCGAGCTAGATGCTGTAGTTCTCTAGGAACTTCTAATGCACGCTCTGCCTGGGACACCCTGTATATTAAATTAAGGCGGCCAACATCAGTGCGGGACGCGGGACACATGCGCGGGACATTCTTGTGGAAATGGGGGGGGAGGGGGGGTAGGTAATGGCTTTGGTAATGGCCTATTTGAAGATTTGGCGCTTTGGGCTTATATGGTTTTTCATTCGATAACAAAAAAAATCGTTGCCGCAAAAACACTGATTATGAAAAGCGCCCAAAGCTAAGCGGGAGTTCGCTCTGGACTCTGGGCCATAGGATAAATACGCCACTGGGATAGTGAATGTGAAGGAAGGAAGTTTGTCATACCTGAACTTAAATTAAGAGATCGATCGGCTCTTTGTCCTTGACTAATATGCGTAGGGATGTGCCGATACTATTGATATAATCCATGAATCGACATTTAACTTTCGATAGCGAGTATTTGAATAGACTTTGAAATCTATGAATGAAGAAGTTTAGACGTTTTGCGGGACGTTTTTCTTAGACGTTTTGCGGGACTATTTTATTAATTATTGCAATGCGGGATTACGACAGCCATTACGGGACGGTCCGATGGTTGGCCGCCTTATATTAAATACAGGACTGTGCAGAATCAGCCATCACAAAGTGTCCAACTTCTGGTAACTACACGGCCAGACACTGACAGGCGCTGTCCGACTACTGACCAAACACCACTTTTATCACTTAAAAAAATAATTATAATCATTGGTAGGTGTATGAAAAAAATTGTCATATTTAACCTGAAGCCCAATAACCACACTATCTAGCTCATAAAATATCATTTCCATGCCATCAATAAAGAAAATTTAATCCACAATTTATACTGAACTTTTTCTAAACACTCTGACCACTGGCTCATTCACCCTATGGCAATTCTGATACATGTAAGCATGTCAAATGGAAATGAATAATAAATAAATAAATAATTAAATTAAAAATATACTCCTATTATCTAACAATATGGAAAAATATACCTCATCTGTTTCATCCTCATTTAAATTTCTTGAAACTGCACACCAACCGTAAGGATGAATTTGTAAGGAACTGATAACTTCAGCTTCATTGGGAAAGTCATCTATAAACTCTATTCTATTTCTTTTCCTTTTCGGATTGAATAAGTAGTTGTAACTAGTTGCTACAGGGAAACACTGCTCACTTGCTTGCATTAACCTATACAAATTAGGCTAAAAACAAAAATATAAAAAAACCATTCCATAGAAAAAATAATATAATCATACTCGGAAAGACCTTAAGTCAGTTGCCAATGTTAACAAATTAAGATTGTGTATTATGATAATATATCCTATAGTAGTTGAAATTATCATTTTTGTCCCGTCCGGTGTCAGTTTCATACGCATTAAACCGTTCATTAAAAATACTTTTTCAAAAAGCATATTGTTTTCAGTAGCATCATTTAAGTTCCAAGCATATACAGATCCATCAAATGCTGACGTTACCATCACTTGATCCTGTTCAGACCATTCAATATTTTTCACCTAAAATATACCTATAAATTTATTGGATTTTCCTGTTGATTTACCTAATTTGTACTTACCCAGTTGGAGTGGCCATGAAGAGTCCTAAATGAAGATTTCAAATTTCGAACATCCCATAATTTAATAAAATGATCATCAGATCCTGTGGCAAATGTTTTTCCATCTAAAAATCTAAAATCACACACTTAACAATTAATATTCCAGGCATTGGATATATTTTATTTGCTCACTTAATACAGTTCACACAATTTTCATGTGAATTTTCAACAGCTTTCACTTGCTTATGACTTGAAGCATCGTAAAGCAGAATTTGTTTACCTTCACATGCAGCAACAAGCAATTTCCTAAAATAAAAAGAACGGTATACGGTATGATTAACACAAATTCACACATAATTAATTTCTAGTATATAAATATCTGTTGATGCAAATTTTAACTTACCCATCTAAGCTGAATTCAAGATTAAAAATGCCGCCGCAATACTTGTAATATGGATTTGAATTTGTAACATAATTAACAGAATCAAAAGAGCTATACAATTTACAAATAAAATTGTCTTTAAATCTTATGTTTCTTTGTTTGAAACCAAGAGCTCTCTGCCTTAAAATATCTTGAATATATACATTATGGTGAATTTTATTAGCAATACGTTGCGGATTGGGAGCTTGCCGAGTTGAAGTTTCAACCAATTCTGGATTGTTCTCACTCATTTTAATAGAATCTACATGGCTTATGAAATCTGTACGTCTTATATAGGATTTTATAAGTTAATTTCTATTTTTTTAGGATTTTTATACAAGGTATTTTTACGTGTTTACCTACGATTTTGCATGAATTGATGAATTTTGCATACTTTAGAAAATAAACGTCACACATCTGACACATGTCACTTAGAAATTGATAATTGCTGCCTCCCTCTATGCAACCAGTAAAATTCAAATAGTGCCTTTAATTTATATAACTCATAATTCACTTATCGGAGATTGATGGAAAACTATTAAAGTTAATGGAAGAACGCAACTTTTATAAAGACCAACAATTTAAGAGTGTTAAAGTAAAAGTGAGGAAATGAGAGTAGTTGTCGGTATTACCGTGGTATTACCCAACAACTAGAAAAAAATTCTTGTATCGCCATATATTTCTCATTTCCTAAGAAAGGACCTTGAATATTTGTTCTTTCTTTTGCTATCAAATTAAAGGTTTCGGTTATTTAATTTTATTTCTTATGTATACTACTTAAGTATACTACAATATAAATTTCTAGTTTAAATCAACATTTTTTAAAAATAATTTATTAACAAAAGTAAGAATTAAGGAAAAACCTGGGGAAAAACATATTTTAAAAATTAAGAAAGGGTTTACAAAATACAGAAAATAGTTTCCGTATTAATAAAATCATTTGCTGTAACAGTATGTATTTACATAATATTATGTAAAGACATGGTTCCGTAACATTTATATCAAATATACAAGATAATCAAAAAAGGCGTCAGCGATGGCTATGAAATGAAGCTCGCTGTCATTTTTGATGTAAAATTATATGGAAACTGATATCGATCGACATGACGCCGTTTATTTTTCGATCGTGCAGTATTTAGTTCTTTCTATTTGTCTCTAAAAACAATACGTCAACAAATTCCTTTAGGACATAAAATTTCCTTCTTGTTATTTCTTCCAATACCGTTAATGTTAGTAACCTTGGTTAAACCAAAAGAGTTTTTGCATAGTTAAGCATGAATGGGAATGACGGATATCTAATAATAAGTCGTACCTTCTTCAAAATTATTCCCCGGCGTAATCGTTCCAAAGTTATCCTACGTTAAACGAGGAGGTGAGCGATTGAACCAAAGGTTTGAACAACGCCGCGCCGCGCCGCGCCGCCGCCGTTTAAAATGACAAAAAATTCAGTCATGCTGTTGTTTAATGATGTAGGTACCGTGTGATCGAAAAAAAATGGCGTCCTGTTGGCTTGGAAATGACGATCGAGGACATTTCCCATATAATTTTACATATAAAATGACAGCGATCTTCATTTCATAGCCATCGCTGATGCCGTTTTTATTCGATCATACGGTATTAGCACAGGTATTAGGGTTTTCGAAAATGGAGCTGTTTTTCGGGACCGGGTATTTCGGTACTACGCCTCTAAGGAACCGGAATTTCCCAGTATTCTCGGTACTTTTGTTACTAGCTAATTTTTGTTGGTACTCTCTTTGGCATTTAGTAGGCATGGGTTTGCACAAAGCATCATGTTTGCACCCTTAATGCACATAAAATACTTATTCGGTTGATTATACGAAAACGGAAAGATGTAGAAACAAAATATTTTATGGGTATATGTGGGGAGTCAATGTACACAATTTAAAATTATTTTGAAATATCAGAACTAAGATCCATACCAAAGTTATATTTTTTCTTATGGAACACCCGGTATTTAATTTCATTTTTGGATTCTTGGGCCCAAAAAAGACATTTATTATGAAGGTTAAATATATTTAAAATCATTGGAATTTGTGTCATTGGTTTTTGAGATACTTAAAGATATTTAAATATGCATGCTACAAGAGAATTGATTATCAGTACCCTGTACATTATTTTTCAGAATTAATTCTTGTGTTGAGTTTAAAGGCAAAAAAATAAACTTTACTGAAAAATGTTATTGCTTCCTTAAATTTATACAGGGGTACCAAAAATTAGTGATCTATTTTAAGGATTTATTTTACATTAAAACTTTGTTATTTAAAATGGAACCAGATTTAAATGCTCTTTCAAACTATATTAGGGTTTCCTATACCTATATGGCTCAGATTTTGAATAAAAAAGCGATTTTTAAATAAAATGGCAATCAAGATGGCTGGTATCGCCATGACAATTTTCTAGTGACAGTTAGTAACTATTTTCAAAATCGACATTAGTTTATAGACTTTATTTAAATCTATACCAGTTTACTTTTATTTAATTGACCTACAATAGTTAAATAAATAATATTTATTTAATATGTATTTATTATTCTATCAAGGAAAAAGAAGTAGTTCTTTGTTTTATTTTACGATAACTTGTAGGTATATGAATTTTTTATAAAAGAGCCAATTACGGTTAATTCAATTTCTTCACTTCCAACGACAGGTTTCTGCCTAATATAGGTTTTTATAAACGACACTACCAATTCTGCGAAATAGCAAATAGGACAAGTAGTTTTCCAAAGGAACGCTTATCAGGAAGATTCCTATCTGGATATCTTTGAGCATTAGCTCTTGAGGCCAAGAAATAATTTTCCTCACAAAATAAAATCACTATAGTAACATATCCATTCGTTCCACCAGCAGATATGGCTTTATTTTTCTTCATAAAATAAAGAATACTTACTTATTAAACTATTGTGGGTAAATTTTAGTAAACTGTTTAAATAATAATGTCCATACACTAATATCGATTTTGAAAATAGTAACTAACTGTCACCAGAAAATTGCCATGGCGATACCAGCCATCTTGATTGCTATTTTATTTAAAAATCGCTTTTTATTCAAAATCTGAGATAGATAGGTATAGCAAACCCTAATATAGTTTGAAAGAGCATTTGAATCTGCTTCGATTTGATTAAAAAAATACAGGGGGTTGCATTTGAAAAAACAAAGTTTTATGTAAAGTAAGTCCTTAAAATAGATCACTTGTTTTTGGTACCCCTGTATAAATTTATGAAAACAATAACATTTTTCAGTAAAGTTTATTTTTTTACCTTTAAACTCAGCACAAGAATTAATTTTGAAAAGTAATGTACAGGGTGTTGATAATCAATTCTCTTGTAGCATGCATATTTAAATATCTTTAAATATCTCAAAAACCAATGATTTTAAGTATATTTAACCCTTATAATAAATGCCTTTTTTTGGGTCCAAGAATCCAAAAATGAAATAAAATACCGGGTGTTCCAAAAGAAGAAATATAACTTTGGTATGGATCTTAGTTCTGAGACACCCTGTATATTTCAAAAGAATTTTAAATTTTGCACATTGCCTTCCTACATATACCCATAAAATATTTTGTTTCTACATCTTTCCGTTTTCGTATAATCAACCGAGGCGAATGAGGTGCGCCACCCTGTATAAGTATTATATGTGCATTAAGGGAGCAAACATGATGTTTTGTGCAAACCCATGCCTACTAAATGCCAAAGGGAGCACCAACAAAAATTAGCTAGTACCAAAAGTACCGAGAATACTGGGAAATTCCGGTCCGGAAAAAATGGTATGGAAATGAGGTGCGTCACCCTGTATAAAAATGTCAACAAATGTGAAATTAATATTTAATTTGAATTGATTAATTGATTTGAATCTGGTTTCTAAAAAATGAATCCGTTTTTATTTGCATACATTACTTATTGATTTTGACAGCCTTGTTTTTTACTCCTTTCAAAAGCAAAATATCTTGCGTAGAAACATATATAGTTTCCACCCAGTAAAGTATTTTACAGCATTGCTATATAAGTTTCATTTTTAACACAACATTGTTATCCACTGTTTCACTTAAGTCGTCATTTGTTATTTCCTTTTTTTTTCAATGCCTAGTATTTTTTCTTAAATTTGTCTCTGTCTTATTATACTTTTCGGTCAAACCAGAGTCAAATTCTTTTTTTTTTCATAAAGAGAATTTTTACTGCTCGTTTTACTTCTATGCATTTTTTTTTATTATTTTGTACATGGTTTTTTTTATTTGTTCTTGGTAGATATGCAATTTTTTTGTTGTTGTATGCATGATTTTTTTTATATCTGAAACATTAAATTTCGAAACAGTAAAAAAATGGAATGTATGTACGTATGGAACAGAAATGTTAGATACCCTCTTCCTTCCCTGTCAATGCAATCCAATCCTGCAGTTCTTCAGCAAGAGTCGCAATATACGATGCTCCTGACTTCGGTACTGCAAATACAAAGAAAATACTACCATATTGCACCTAATCGTCCACCGTCCAAGAGAACTGCGGACTTTCATTCACTTTTGCCTTTGAATATTTTGTTGGCATCTGGAATAATGAGGTAAAAATATCACAAAATTGTCAGGTTGATATAAGAGGCGCCGAACTACTGGAGTGTCCCATTTGGCGCGTGTATGAATTACTGAAATTCTACTATATAATGAAAAAAATTATGGAGGTAAGACCATTTTGCTAAAATTGAACGTTTGAAGAGTTCCCCTCTAGTTTTGACACATTTTTCCTACTATTTTTGGTGTTTTGTTTTTGACTCAATATCAAAAAATTTAATCGTACATCAAGGTGCAAAACAAGGTCCAAACCAAACCAAACATTTTATATTTAAATCAAAACGCCCAAAACGCTTTATAAAACATTAAAACTTCACTTTGTTCTTATAAATTGTGAATTTATTGTTTTAATCATCTCTGTTGATGATGCTAACATGGTTAGCTTAACGCGCGTCCAGTGTAAAAAATAAAAGTGTTTTGGTGTATTGTGGTGATTTAGTGTTTTATTTTCCTTATAAATTGTACCTACATGTTTCTATAGGAACCCATAAAATAACTTTTTTTATTACTTACTCAATATCCATATATTAAGTAATTACGCACCTTAATACATATTAAATACTTATATGAAAATGTCAACAAATGTGAAATTAATATTTAATTTGAATTGAATTGATTGATTTGAATTAATTTTTTCGCAATATTTAACAATAAGAGGCAAGGTAGGCAATAGGTATAAGTGAGAAACTTGATTCCTATTTAAACAAAATTATTAACTTTATGTCGTAACATTATATGGTACTCGCTTTATGTAGCCTCATCACCTTCCTATACAGGGTGTCCCAGAAATAAGTGCAAGTATTTTAACTGGTAGTATATTGCGACCTCAGAAACACGCCTATGAGGTATTTTTTGCGAAAAAAAAAATATTGAAAATTTGGAACTTTTTTAAAAAAATTTGGAATTTTTTTTAGTTTTAAGTTAAAAAACATAATTTTTTGATAATATTGCAAACATAGGTAGTAGCTTAAATTTACACCAAAGAAAATCCATAAAAGATATAGTGGTTCTCAAAATTTTAGCAAAAAATCATATTTTTTTGGAAATATTCAAAGTAAAATAACTCTATTAGGTTATATAGGACTTATTAGTATATATGTTATTTTGGACTTATTTGAAAAACTGCAAAGAGAAAAAATGTTTCTTTTGGCCAGATCTACCACCACTTAAAATTCTTGCACTTATTTCTG